GTCTCTCTGCGGCTTTAAGCCGGCAAGGGCTTGACACATTGTGCATAATATGCTACTGGCAATAATTATGCTACTTTTTGTAAATTAAGCTCATTTTAACAAAAAAATGCAGAAATTATGCTTCCAATTTTTACTTAAAATTTGTTGCAAACACTTCAATAAACATGGAGCAAACAAGGAAACGGCAAACACATACATGACCTCTTTTAGTCTCTCCTGGAGACACCGCTGACATTTTTCCTTGCACGTCTCCTGGCCTTGGGTACTCTAAAGCCGATTAACTATAATCCAGTATTAATTTTAGAGTAAAAGAGAGTTTCTAGAGGGCATTTTCTTGCTACTGCATTCGAGCAATCCTTCAGATCTCAAAAGCTCCACATCTTTTTATAGTGAATAATTATCAAGCCAAGAGATCTAATCACTGATAAATCAATTGGCAATCAATTTTCTCCACTTCATTTCTGCCAGCCAACCCTTTTTAAGTGGTCTGTTGTCATTCGGAAGACCAGCAGAGATTGATCATTCAGGAAAATTTTGCGGTAAAAAGCTGAATGCAAGGAATTGCAAAAAGCTAACCAACAAGATGTTTTCTTCAGCGCATAGGCAAACTTAGAATACCAGCATTCGTGTCCATCTAAGCAGTTGCCGTTTTTCCAGAAGGTACAATTAATGTAACCTGAAGTGCAATATAGCGTTTTACCAATGCGAAGAATTAAGTATTTATCACTGAAATACCGTCATCAAAACCACTCTGCATAAAGTTTTTACGAGTGTTTCCAACCCCTTTCTAGGGGAAAACAGTCATTCTCCCAAGTGCCATTAATGCAAACAATCACGCACGCATATGACTGTAAGAAAAGCTACTACATCTGTAGATATTTCTCGAAGCATTAATTTGTCATCAAGCCAACATATAACACCCTTTATCCATATAAACCTGGTTTTAGCAGTTTAGACTGATAAATGCGGATGTCTAGGACAGTTGTTTTTGTAATAGTTTAGATACATGACCGAAGTATTGGAACCCTTCGCAAATTTGGTGCCATATTGCTTTCAAGTGTTTACAGTGACGAAGAAACCATCGGAACATTTTGAATTAAATGTCACAGCGAGAATAGCACCCTCACAGAAAGTGTGAAAGAGAAAAACTGTGCTTAAGAATCACGTTGAATGGACAGAAAAACACGTTACTTGAGTCACTCTTGTGTACTCTGACCCGTCTTTTAGTTGGAAGCACAGAAAGCTTTACAAGATTACTACGTGAGAGAGGTAAGATGAAGTAATTAGACATTGAAAAATAGCAATCAATCGCAGCCAAAAAGATACATGCAACCAGTTTTAAGTCGCGGGGATTAGTCCTTAAAGTGTAAGTAAGCGGAATACTTCTCCGCCTCAAAATGGGATTATAATTTAGGAAGAGTGCTAATACAAGTTAATCCGAGCGGCGAAAAAAAATCCCTTGGAACAAACAAAACGTCGCCATGTCGTGTGTTCATCATGGCGATGGAGCGAACAGGGGAGGATAAAAAATGCAAAAAAATCGTTAGTGAAACTGATAACGATATGATAGCAATAGCGAAAAGAGAATTGCAAAACTAATGTGAAATTTGGGGCCAAAGAATCAAGAGTTTTGTATCTTCTTTGATGCTCCCGAGCAATTTTGAACGATTTTTGACTGAGAATTAAGGCTCATTAGCTCACCCTTAATTAACGTAATCATCACCTGCCTTGATGAATGAAAGTTATCTGGCTTCAAGAGAAGAATGAAGGTCCTTAGGATTGTCATTATGAGCGCCCAGTGGGTTGAAATTACTTTAAAGTCATTGGGCTTTCAAAAGAGACTTGTTGTTGAAACGATGGTCTAATTATCACCTTTTGGCTCACTAAAATCATGCCCCAAGGACATAAATAATCAAAAACCGTCACCGAGTCTTTTCATACTATCTATTCTTTAGCTTTAGCAAAAGGATTCACCAAGCTTTCTCTGAGAGAAAAACGGAGCTGTGGATTTCGCTCGTGTTTAAGGCATTTTGGGAATTCACTTGGTACAAGAAATTCATTATCTGATCCACAGAAGCTGAAGCTACTTGCTCCAGCTAACCATACAAAAAATTTCCATACGACCACACAACGAGTAAAACTATTATCACATGTAACCATGACATTGCTACTCGTGTGTTTTACAGCCTGTGAAGCAAAGTTATCACAATGTGAATTGCTTTTACTCAACTATAACTAAAACTCAAATATCGAAACGAGCGAATAGGTTTTTTGGTGGTTCTAAGAGCTGTCATTTGTGCAACAATGTGGATCAGAGAGGGCCAGTATAAAATCCATTTTTCTTACTTTTCTTTCAAATTTGCCACTGACGTTTTAAAATGTTTCTTAAGAGTCGCGTGTCTCCTGTCAAATACCTTCTATCCAAACTATAAAATTCCCGACTTAGAAGCCTCGTTCTATGCTAAGGCCATAGAATTCTGTTTCACTAGAGCTTCAAACAAAGACCCACAAGCAAAGCCCCTGTTTTTATCTACATCATGTGAGGTCTTGAGAATTTACAAGTAGACAAGCCAAGCATGATGCATGCTTTTGGCATGTTTTCAACTTCTCGACATATTGCTTATAAGATTTTAAGGGAATATAGAAAAGTTTTCTGAAAAAAAGACAATTGCTGTGATAGTTCAATATACTGCATTGGAGATTGGCTCATTGGGACCGATATGGCTCTAGATCATCCATGGTTCACAGTCCACCTTCCACAACCTTTGGGAGAAAACCTCACAAGTTACAAATGAAACTGTATCACAGTCTTATTTTTATTTACCTCAAAGCCAGAAAACATCGCACAATGTTCACATGTAAGCGTTTTCAAAAGGAAACAGATTCAGGTAGCTTTTACCAATAAAGCCGCCCGTCACATGGAATTTGCACGTGCAGAAAATCACTCATTTACTTCTTCCCACAATAATCGCATTGATGGGCGTCAAAATGCGGGGTAAATTGCTAAAGCTCGCACCGAATTAGTGTGCAGTAATTTTACTGTTTTATTACTAAACGGAAATTAGACACGCTACTTGAGATTGTCAATGTAAATTCTCACCAAGAGGGTTGACAGACATCATTCTTTTTTATTATTATTATTATTATTTTAACCCGATTTAATAACGGTTTTGCATGTGTTAAATAAGAGGACAGCTTGCCATGCCCAAACATAACGGAGTGGACGCCGTACATATCGTTAAAGAGCTTTAAGTCTAGATGATGTACCTCCACTTGCGTTTACTTCAAGTACGCTGTCCTTAGATAACTAGCTCTGTGGAGAATATAAGGTAAGACCAGTGATGTCCTCGCTATTCTATTCAGAGCGACCAGGAGTCTTTTTGAGACTGCTAAGCAAGTTTTTCTTTGTTAAGCTGTGTATATGACAGGCAAAGTGGTCTTTACTTTACTAGTAAATAGTCGTTTAGTTCAGAAAGATATGAAAGTGGTGGTGCTTAACACACATCCAGTGATTTTGAGACATGCAACGCTGAAGTTCTCCGTTACGATTATCATCTTTAATCTCTTCATACCAACCCTGTCTTTCTTTATTTGCAATACGTTTATAATACGCAAGCCCATTAGAGCACCGGCAAGCTATTATGTAAAGGGAGAAAGAAAACTGCCGAAATGGTAGATGACAAATGATTAAATAAAAACGCGAGCACAAAGAAAACTTTAGAATAGCACGTTTATTCCTATGTTTCCCTTTTTATCTCGGCCTGTCGTGAGTGTTAGTGCATGGAAACCGGCAATTAGCAATAAAAAGCGCCGAAAGCTCAGGCTTTAAGAAACTTACACGCTTACGGTACTAGCCACATGGTTTAACGTGATATTCATGGAATACGGCTTACGTCAACAGTATTCATAGAGTTGGTCCTATAGTTAGTGAACTCAGAGATGACCACTGGATCTAACGACTTTTGCTCTGTAAAATTATAACTGTTCAAATATTGCCTAGGATTTTCTAAAGCACGAGAAAGGCTATGAATTCCTTGAGAACCGTTCCATTCGTTTAAAATAATCGGATCTTTTCCACTAACTTTAATACCTAAGATTTTCTGAAGCTGTGTTTTTCACATTTTACTGCCATTAAAATTGTCTCCTAGAATTTTCTGGTATAAAGACAAACCGTCCTGTGTAACCTTCTAACGAAATTACGACCGGACCCATGACGGTAGCTTACAATTTCGACAGAGACTAAGAAGCCACCTAAAACTTTCTAGTCGACCAAAGTTCCCTTAAGACATCCGAATAGACATATACTATTAGTTTTTAGGGCACTGCTCCAAATTAGCCTAAACAGGCTTCTAAATCATAGACAAAACCATTTGAGAGACTTCTGAAGATGATTGGAAACATTCGTTCGTCAGTTGCCCCTGATGATTTATTGGACTGGATACAACCTTTAACGAGAGACTGAGCAACTTATTCATGATGGACATTAAAGCTCCAGATGACCTATACCCTCTCACCCAATTGATGGAACAGTCTAGAATTTTAGGGCAGGCTGCGCGCAAGGACTCGTCTGAGTTCGAATTCGTGAGAAGCGTTAGATTAAGCTTGTCTAAATGGAACGACGAGGACCTTAGGAATTGCAGACCACTTAGCTTCTTGCAAGAACTTTTCTTTCCTGCTCAAATGTCCTTATTTTCACGACGAAAAAAAATAGTGGTTCTGATATAGGCTGCGGTTTGCTTTGACTATATAAGGCATATACTTATTCCTGACTCAGTAGTTACATACAGTTCACTTACCGTCACTATAATGTTGAAAATCGCAAATAAATGTCTCTTAAATAATCAGATACTGATCCTTTTGTGGAAACGGTGAGAACAAGTTAGTACTAAACCGAAGCCGAGCACAAGCAAAAACGTCACATCTCTGAAGACATTTTAAATACATTTGAAAGTATACACAAACTCTATTGTTGAAAAACTGAGTAGGTACAAAAAGTCGAAATGTTCACATCAAAGATAACACCAGATTTCAATTACTCTGTACTATTGTTCCGTGTAGTATACTTAGTAAATAAGTAAGTTTTCCGGCAAATTTCGCAACTTTCCTAATGAAGTGAGCATGCACTTTCAAATTTACTTAGAAAACTTACACCTTATAGACATTTCACAATACAGTCAAACCTGCATATAACGGCCCTGTATATAGCAGTCACCCTGTACATAACGGTCACCTTGCCATTTCTCAAGGACAGGTTTGACTGTATTCTGTATTGTAATTCGTAAATAGTTGAGCTTAAAGAAGCAGATAAGGCAAACGAGACTGCCCAAGCCAGAATAACTTTTTCATGGGACCGAAGCTACCACAAAAACCTCGTGTTCGTTAAAGACAGTTCTCAGCCCTGAGCAAACGTTATACCAAGCCTAGGCGAATCTTTTTCAGTGCACATTTATTCAATTGCAAAGTACGATACCATTAACAAGGCGAGGTACGAGGGTTTTTTTTCTTTTTCATTGAAATAACAGCCATATCAGACAAAGTGCCTAAAATTAATAGCTCAGTATTATTTTTTCCCACCCAATAAGTATTAAACAGCACAAGAAAGACAGGATAAAACGTAAGTCACTAAATGATATTCGTCCTGCAAAGTACATCATCAGTCCCTAGAGGACGGCTCAATGACGAAAACAGGCGGCCATTTTGAAATTCATAACAATGGTGCTGATAACGTTTCCTTTGTTATCATTCTTTCAACAAGGAGGTTTTGGTATCACATCAAATTTTCACTGTAAATCACTGTAAACGTATGCTAAATTAATCGCAAAAGACGTTATTTCACCATAGAACAAATCCCCTTGAGTACAGTTCTTAAACAACACTTGATAGACTGAACAATAACATTTGTCTTCAGGAAACCAGTTCATTGTCATTTTAGAATCTTGCTTTGTGGATATATAGTGTGCTCTTTTTAGATGGAGAGAGCAAATCAATAAAACTATCACTATCAATCAGCTTTTTACCTTTTTTTGTGGAGGTTCACATATGTCTACAAAAGTATTCAGATTAGGGTCTTTCGCAAATATCACGGTTTGTTTTTTGGCTGCGTAACTTCAAATTGTTTGTATAAAGATTCCAGTTTACACCACCTTTCCTTTAAGAGGGAAATTTAATTTATTCAGCTGTACATAATATGATGATGTGCCCCAAATGAACAAAAAGGAGGTGGCCAAGTACAAATGATACGCAAGCACAGATGTAGAACTGAGCTGCCTTACAACAACTTAAGGGCGAGGTTTCTCGTACATGGGAAGTGAGGCTCTTTGTAGCTAGCTACTTGGGGCCACAGAAACTGCTTCAAGCGCCCTAACACTAGCTTGTATAACGGCCAAACACGTGATGAGGGTGTTAACCAAAGGCTTGATCACCTCTTTCCAGCAGAGAGTGTTAATTTTACTGGAATTGTGGAGGACGAAAAACTAGCAGAACCTAGTAATTGGAAATCCAATCAACTGCAACAACAGTTCGTGGGGGTCATCGCAAATCGGGACCGGTCACATGTCCTATTAGTGCAGCGCTAATAACTCGTTTCAGTTCTTTGTTCCTCTGAATAACAGTCGATAGCATTAAAAAGTCGCACGAATCTGGAACATTCTAGAAGATTCTAGTCCGAATTTCGAGTTGCCATACGTTAAGGAACGTGGACACCCAAGTGTTTGAATCAATCCAAACTCTGTAAGTTAAAAACCTTGAAAACTGCATTAGAAATACTGATTGGCACTTAATTTTCTGGTCACGTACACAGTACACTGTAAGGCCTATGCATAAACGGTGTTCTTTTTCTGCACACCATATCACTACCAAGAGCACAGCAAGTCTCAGTTTAAGAAATATTCCAAATTTCGTTATATCAGACTTTTCTCTCTGTACATTTTCTTTAAAAAGATGCAACAAAACGATAGAAGACTGTTTCACAAGATCTTTCATTTGAATGGTAATATCCTACTATTTTGCTCAAACAATGATAAGCTGGCGGGGAAAGATATTTTAGGTATCGCATCATATTCCTGGAAGTGAAACAGTGGATGTTAATATAAACTGGGAACAAGACGCATTAAGAACAATTAAAATCTTGTGTCATGCTTTAGTTTCGTAGTCTTTGAACACACCAGTACACCGAGAGTCTTTGTTCCGGTAGAATAAAAGATATCAAACGGCCTTGGACGGTTCAGTAATCTTAGCTCAGAACTTTTATCTGTAAGGCTCCGGGTGTTAATTGTTCAAATAAACAAAGAGGCTGTGAAATCGTTCCGTGGAACACTGGTTTTTATCATAACAGAGTTTTATCAAGTGTTAACTATTGCTACGATGCAGCCTTCTGTTCGCAACTTACAAAAACAGCTAAGGAGTTCTTGCCTCGAAGTTCTCTTAATGTTAAATCCTTGTTATTTTCACTACAACTATTGGATCGGAATACAGTTTATTTCAACTAATATTAAGAGTGCAGTGTTGCTTTATCTAGGGCATCCAACGGTGTTTTGGCTTTAAACCGAAAATAAAACCATCAATCACCATATTTCGTAAGTTAAAAGTTCGGAATACCTCAACGAAGACTGAACTGCATTTGTTCCATTAAGGAACATAAGCTATCACGGATGAGGTTTTTAAGACTGATAATTATATCTCCCTACAAAAAATAGCTGGTAGATAAATTGTTTTGTTCTCTATTTTGTTTTTGTTTGTCAAGGAAAGGAAAGCAAAAGACAAGCTTATTTCATTGTGAAGTACTAAGGACCCCATTTGGTTAGCTTTTACAGTCTTTAATGAGAAGTATATTTGCCTTACAGATTGAGTAACCCACGCATGCGTTAACTAGGAGGACGAAAGAAGCTCAAAGTTATCCCTTAACATACAGCCAGATCTACTATTATCCTGCTGTAAGGTAATGTTTCTATCTTTTATATGCCAAAATTAAAGCAAAGCAATTTGTCCCTTTCATATAGCAGCCATAGATATTATGACAAAGCTAAGACAATTGACGACTCTAATAGGGTGATTGGAAGTAAGCGTATAAGGCTCTGAAGTTCAGATTTCAACTTCAGCTGAAGTCAGTGGCTATTGAACACAGAGGATCTTTGTTCTCATAATGTTTTGGTAATTACTGATAAGCAAACAATTGACAAACGACAGAGGAAGAGAGCGTGTCGCCTCTTGAGTGTCTTTTGTAAGAGGTGTATGTAGTTGCAAGTGTTAATACAAAAATGTGTTAATACAAGCAATCGTTTGGGGCCTTTTAAATCATACACTTGTCACCTCTTCTCATTCACAGGTAGGTAAATTACCGCCTTATTGGTGAAAAATGCAGTATAGTTAAAAGAGTTTTCAAAGTTGGTTTTACAGAAAGATAACTATTCAGAATGCAACTTGTAAACAAAACGAGTTTTTCTTTACACTAACATCGAACTTATGCCGTTGGCAAATGCCGAACATAGCTCAAAATCTAAAACAAAAATAACATTTGTCAAGATTGCGTAGTATATACTTTTATATACGTCAAACGTATCTGTTATGTTTTCTCTTTACGACTGTTTTGTAGGAAGCTACTTTTTAAGTAATTCTGACCTCTGTTTGAGCAAATAGAGGAACACAAGAGAACTTCACTTCTTTGGTAGAGGTATGGAGCTCTTCATACCGTTCCTTTTGTCGATAACTATTATTATTATTATTTTTTTTAAAACCGATATAAACTGAGACTACGTAGTCACTAAGTATGTATCCACGAATCATGCAGCTGCGTCGATTAGTGGTAATCCAAAAAAAAGTAAAAATACCTATTAAACCAATTAAAATCTGTCTCTTACTCTCTGAAGGCTTCCAAAATGGTGTCACCCCTTGTCAAGTTCGTGGTTACTGTGTTACTGCTGTTTACTGCCATGGCAGCCAAACCGAAAAGAAAGAAACCACAGAACCATTATTGGAGGGTCGCGCCATGTCAGGTGCAGAAGGCTCTTATCCAGTTGAATAGCAAGAGATGGGGGATATGCAAATCCATCACGATTACAACTACTGGTTGTCGTGGGGGCTGTTTATCTTCGGCCAGACCTTACAGCCATGGAGTTGGAATTGCTACAAGCTGTTCGTGCTGCTCACCACTCGAGTCAATCATCAGAGAACATAGAGTCCCAGGATGCGGGGGGAAAACTGTTTTAGTTCGCCTCCCAGAAGCTAAAAGGTGCGCCTGCAGGCCTTGTATAAACGGAAGGTAACAAATCTCATGTGAGCTTTTCGCGTGAAGAAATGATTGTCATTCTTATTTTGAAGACGACCGTGTTAGTTGAAAACGGGAGAATGTAGTAAACGACGGAGTGGAAATAGCGATCAACGACTCTTGCTTACTGTGTTTAAACCTTGAAAGTTTATACACGAAAAAGAGCTCCACACACTGATCTGACACATGTATGCAAAAGAGGTGTAATCAACAGGTGTTTAAGGCAAAGTTTAACGTAAACTAAAAAGACATTGTACATTGTTATGCTAAGTGTTTTGTAATGTATCTCATCAACGGACTTTGTTTGCGGTTTAATTCTTGTAAAAAACTACATTCAATCGAATTAGTTCAACTTATGTTACTTTGCAGTTAATAGTGCCGCAAATGAAACTGAAAGTGTTATTTTCAGTTTCATGGTACTTAGTATCTAATTATTAAGAAATGTTTCGCGCTGCTATAGAAAACCCAATATTGCCAAACTAAGCAAAGACCCTACGGCGATGTCGGACTCATTTGCTCTGTATTATTCAAAATAGGTGCGATTTTGCAGGCTATTCTGGGCATTTGTCTAAATTGTTACGCATTGAAGAGGTAATTAACTTTGAATACAAGCTGTCCATGTCGCCTGTTCAGCTAAAAGAATGATTCAGAATGACCTATGGATCCATGATGTACTTATAAATAATTTCTTTTTTATCCTCAGACTTTATTGACACTCAAACGTACTTGTTCAAAAAATTAAATAGAAAAGAAAAATTGCAAACTTAATTGTTGAATGCTAAATTACCAGTAAAGTAACGGAAAAACAAGACAGTCATGAATTGTGAGTAAGAAAAGATTGATTATATGAGGATTATAAGAGAATGTACATATTATAAAGTATTTAAATTGTCTTTCGAGAATTGTAAATATTGTATAAATCGATTTCCTCGTTAAGTAAACGGACCAAAGTCTGGTCTATTGTATATATTGTCTGATGTACGATTTGAGGGTCTTTATTAAGTAATCCGAAGGGTTAAGCCAAAATGAATGCAACTGAATGATAATTGTAGACAATTGACTCAATAAGTTCGACGGAAAATTTTGCTCATCGTTAAGTTGTCCTAAAAAACTAAATGAAGAATTAAATGCAGCAGCAAGATACATACAATATATAAATTACCATTTTTGTCGAAGTAAGCATTGTATCATTTGTTGCATTAATGTTGTGTCAGTTCTTTTCACCTTTCCCTTTATATCTATTTAGCATGGTGTTCGAATGCTGTAGTTACTACTGTCAGCATAAACAATAAGAGCGCCTTCTACTGGCCTGCGTCACAGACATAATCTAACCCCGGCTAGTAAGAGGGTAACCGTCGATAAAGTGTACTTATAGACTGAGTGGGAGGGCTGGACGGGAAAATACTTGGCTCGAGGTCAGTGCGTCTGACCGGGAGCCAAATATTTTTCCGTCCGGTTCGACCTAACACAGTCAGTAAGCATTTTATCATACATGTATGACCGTTGTGTTTTTAAACTTTTCAAACGGAGCGAACCCGCCTTGATCAGAACGGTTTTTTAGCAGGGCCGTACGCGTTTTTCTACCCCTTTACTTCACGAGTACCGCCCTTGTACGGGATTTTTTTTACCGGTTTTTTTTTTTTTCAAATAGTTTCCCAACGAAATTGCACGCTGGGACGTTCGAATATGGGTCATATGATAGAGGTAATTATTTACCGTCAACTGTGAAAGAAAAGGTCTTTTAACATGTATTTAAGATTTCAGCTGATCTTCACGGACGTATGGCTCGGGAAGAATCTCTGAAGTGAAAAAATCCCATTTCCTCGTTCTCAAGATCTCTCTTCCTTAACATTAAAACCTTGCAACTTGCTTCCTGGTCTGACAATATTCCTCAAATTCTTGAGTGAAAGGCCATGACAGCGCACTCAAATCTTGGTACACAGTTGGGGGCCCAGCATTCTCGACCCCAGTGCTTACGGGTTTGGGAATGCGCGCGTAAGTTCTGGGAAACTCTGCGCCTGCGTAGTCAAAATCTGGCTATTTAGGCCTCACAGCGCATGCTCTTTGATCCAACCAAAATTTTTTGCTTCTTTTATATCTACTTTATCGCGGAAGTCTTGTGCTGCTTCGTTATTAGAACTGGAGAAATTCAGTTAACTGAGCCCTTGAAGAATTTTCAGGTATCCAAGGCTCTTGTGGTAGCTGCTGAGATAATACCGTTAAGCGCTCTCAATCACAGATTTGAGACTTGAAGTTTGCATATGCTTGACCCTATGCTTGACAGTTGATGAAATATTTGTGTGGACTACTTCACGAGGCGGTAAGTGAAAACCGAATGGCTTGTTAGGGTGAACGTATCGAAATTCCAAAAAACTTTCCAAGATATGAATTTATTGTCCTTTTATTTTATGTTTGTTCATGAATATTAACATTTCAGCGAAGCTGCTTTGAAATGCGATATCGTGGGGGAAAAAGACAACAATAAATATTTAGTCGCATACACGCATCACCTTTGGGAACGATTTACTTTTTCTTTTTTTTTTCCCTTGCAAGTCTGTTTTTGGGTAATTTACGACATGAAGCTCAAGTTTTCATTCGTACTCTGCTACTTCGTGTGAATACGATAACGTGGAAGTCAAAGAATGTGTTATGCTTCTTAAATTATAGCTGAAAAAGATGTCGCTGTATTTTTATTTTATTTTTCACTTTCAATTCTTTTTCTCGATCAATTTTCGATATGTAGCTACCCTTTTTTATTGAAAATTGGAAAATGCAGTAATTCTGCCTAATTAGCCATGCAAATGTTGTTTTGGAATCGCTGAAATCAAGAATCGGCCTGTACGGAGTAGCCCATCGGCCGGTCGTGTTTACCTCAACATTTCTAGGGAAAAACCGGCCGCTCACACGCCAGACACGCCGCACGTTCAACCGCTCTCGTGCAAACTTGAATGGACCGATCAGAAACACTTTTATTGTTTTTTGCTGAAACGAAGCAGAGACAATCTTGCTCCAGCGTTCCCCAGAGCTCTTAATCTCTCTCCTCTACATGCGCAGAAGAGCTCTGTGTCGAGATTGGGAGGCCAGAACATGGATTTCGGCACTGGCTCGGAGTTAACCATCAGAGTTTAGATGCGTCTGTGGCGCAGGCTTGAGTGACTAAAGCAAAAATAGATGACTAAATATTACAGTATATATCTACAGACCAAAAAAAGGTGAAGACCGGCACAGATGACTAAAT